ACAGAATTGAGATGGAGCCCTTGGTGAATTGAGAGCCCTTGGATTTCCTGGTTTCGAAATAACACATTATGAATGTTTTTGTTGAATGGAGGCACACTTATATGTTGGTGTTGTCATCTCTCTGAGCCTTGTGTTGTTTTGGCTTCAGATATAGCTATGGCTTTTATGTTTGTTCTTTGATGAGAGATATTAGTTACACAGGTTTGATATTATATTTGAAGGCTTAATTAATTCTTATAGTCTTTGTTTGAGATTTACTTTCTTCCTACTTAGGTATAACATCTAAGGAGGTGATTGGAGACGCGTTTTAAAATCATGAGGCTAACAATGATATGTAACCGGTCAAAGCAGATAATAACAGACTGTTTAGTTCAGATAAAAAATGAAAATAGAGATAAGTGTTATCTTCTTCAAGGGACGACTTTAGATTTACAAATATAGGCTTTTGGTGGTCGTGTACATTGCACACACTGGACTTTTGATGTGCTATGTGTCACAATCATACTAACCAAACGAACAAGATAGAAGGCAACACGTGAGTGACGCCCATCGAACTACATGAGGGCTGTGATAGATAAGTGTCCTGGTACGACTGAGGAGGACGATGTATCATTGCATTCAAGACAAGATGAGGCATAAGCAAAATAGAGGTAGTGAGTCTAACATGAGTGTCAGAGACAGACTCGATGAGAGTCGGGCATGGCCCCGAGCCATAACCTCAAAACTTAGAATTTAGCTGTGAGTTTCGATATGGGACTATGAAGTTAAATCCGTTTATATGAAAGATGAAAGCTTGTTAAACTTGGTGCCAATCGAAGATAGACACACTCCACAAGACCGCACAATTGCTCACCAAAATCGTGTATATCCTGTCATACCAAAAATGTTGTAGAGTGTACTATGGTGTCAGCTCTTTACCACCCTCAAGCCCTGTGACCTAAGTAAACTACCGGTAAGTAAACTACCTATGTCACATATAGTGTAACAACCTGCTTATCGATGCATTGAATCACGAATGGTGACACGAGGATAATTTTTTTTATTTCTTTTAAAATAAAAGAACAAACAAACATCCACATAAATACATTAAATCTGAACAAGTAAAGTATAAAGGTGTATACGTACAATTTCAAAATATAATATCCCTTTACAAGCCATGGGTTCATTAAAAGTTACAAACAAGTAAATGTAAGACGTGACAAATCTCCTCCAGTCGCCCGTCCAACACATTATCCACCATGATTAGTGATCCTTAATATTTTTAATACTCATTCTTGCTACACTTTCTTTTTAAGGATCATAGAATCTGAACAATCTACTTGTGGGATTTGGTCGAACTTATTCTTATACACAGAATCTGAAGCTATATTACTCATATTGCCCCTAGAATTAGCCAAATTTGTGGTACAAAGCCTGTACTAACTTTTCACACTCAAGCCTACCTAATCCCTATACGTACCTCCTATAAGGAGTATCTTAATTCCTTTATGGTTCATAACTTAAGGATTTTCGGGTACTCTTAGCTTTATGTTTTACGTTTCTTTAGGTCTCTCATCAACCTTGGCTAGTTGCGCCTAGAGTAATTGTAACCCATAAGAAGACGCTAGGGTAAAATTCGGATTACAACGTTGATTGAATATCTTAATGCAAGAACACTTGTTTGAGATTTCAATCACTTTACAAATAAGATCGATCATGTCAAGTTTGAATGATTCTACCTAAAATTACAAAGAAACTTAGTCATTGCTAAAGGAAAGCTTATTTTCCAAGTCCATTTACAAATACAACAGACATAGTTTTATATAGCCTCAAAATGAAACTATTAAAAGTGTTCAAAGGGTTGTAACATTCATATTTTATGGCTATAATTACCTATTAGGTAAATGTAACTTAAAAAGTGAATAAAAAGTCTTAAAATATATTATTGAAATACAATAACTCTAAATTATAATCCACAAAAAAAAAATATCTTTTTTTCTTTCACGTGACATGAATTGAAATATCTTTTGATAATTTTAAGAGCATTTTCTTCACATCTTCATTGAACCTGGTTCATATCACATACACCCATGTAACACAATAGAAATAGTAAATCCAAACTATCCATGAGAGTAATTGGATTCTATATGATACTTCCCAACCTTGTAAATGACTTTAGCTAGTCCATAATATTTCCACACCAGTTGTTGGTTCTTGTTGTCTTGAAATCGAAGTTGATCTAATATAAACTTGATCATAACTCTTTCTCCATTTTGAAATTGTCGTGGTCAACGCTTCCGATCGACCCTTCTATTCATTTGTCTATATGGTCTTCCCGAGTAAACATGAGTTGCGTAAGAGATTTGTCTCTGTCTCCCCCCTTTAGCAGAGATGTTGGCTTAGGGTGTAACAACCCGAAATTTTTTACTTAATTTAAGGTCGCTACTATATACGTACCATAAACATTGAATACAGATGACTCATTTAAATTCTATAAAACATAACTTTTATCTTAAAGCACAACCATGAACTTACGTATATCGAAAACATCTTTAAAATGACACAATAAAAGACTAAATAAAATGAATAAAAATTTAAGTTAAAAACATCCTAGTCTAGCCTAAGTCTAAGAAAATAAATACCACTACCCTATACATGTGTCATGGTCTCGAGTTGCGATGTCGTCGTCAGCCGTACAGGAATGCCTTGCCTTAACCTGAAAAATGTAGTAGCACATGACTTGAGTATTTCTTGAATACTCAGTAAGTGACCTCCTATCGGGGTTAGGTCCCATCATTTCATTGCATGTGATTGTTGCATATCTTTCATTTCGTTTCGTTTTCCCTACGGTGCTGTCCTAACGATTAATCGTGGATGTGTACCATATACTCTACACACAGCCCATACGTGCGAGTATGGGCTCACTAGCTAGTTCGCACACCGCTGGGCCACTTTCCTTATTCAATGGGCATACTCTGGGAGCCCCTTATACTAGGACCCGTTAAAGCTAGTAATCATTACGGCAGCGCTATGCAAAGCATAACGATCGTTGTCCTGCCATTAGATGTTCGTGTCCGTACCCTCGTGATGGGATAGGGGTATCCCCAAGATGCATGAGCACACATAATGCATGAGGTCCCCCTACTTCTACATTTATCATTAATGATCATACCCCACTGTCACATTCCATGTCATTCTCATTTTCAATTTACATTTCACACATATTCCTATAGGGGTTATGATTCCAGACAGTTTACCGTGTTTCATGTCATACAATTCATGCGGTTTACATTCAAATATTCCATACAATCATGCCATAATCATTCAGGAACCACATATCGTCACATGCATAACATATCACATCAAACTAAGCAGCATACATTCATGTTCACATGAGTTCGTACTTAAGCACATTAAACTAGCATACAATTTAATGACACGTGCAAATCCACGGGCACGTGCTAACATACAACAAATAACGCGTAACCTGTGACGGTTGAGCCACTTATCTGGCTAGCTTAAGTCGTTGTCACGAATATATCTTTAATGAAAGTTCGATTCTGTCATTTGAAATCCAAGTCAACCTATATGAACCCATGACATTAGTTTCGGGTTTGAACTCTACACCATTCTTTCTCTAATTTAAGTTATTCTCTGCTTTACTACTCTCTTTACCTTATGTATTTACGTTTCCCTCTATATTTAGTTTGTGGTTTTTAATTCCCAAATCTTCTTTTTTTTATCTGTTGCCTTTTAATTCTCTTCTCATGTATTCCAAATTTTCAGTGGATGTCCGTTTCCAAATCTTTTCTTATCTTAGTGTTTCATATTCAGAAGTTTTGTTAGTCATTCTATGTTTAATCTATTCATTTGGCTACTGATAAAAATTTAATCTAATATTATCTGATTTAGAATCATATAAATGTTTGACATTTAGTTTCTAAGTAAAAGCTAGACCATTGTAATAATTCAATGAAGATCTAAGTATAATTTGTTGTGATTTCTAAAGAATAGGATAAAAGAAAATAAAGATTTAATATCTAAGTATAATTTGACATTTAGGTCATTCTCATTTTTTTTTTTCTCAACTAAAACAGACTATTTTTCTATTTCTTTTTGCAGTAACTGTTAGGTGTAAGGATGAGTTGAGGAGAGATAATTGTGGAAAGGGATGAGATGTTAGTGGAGAGAAGTGGAAAAATGTTGTTTTTTTTGTTTATTTATTTATTATTATTTTAACTACTTTTATAATTATTTTTATTTGTTTATTTCTTTATTTATTTTTTGGGCTATTACTTAAGGGTCTATCCCCAATATTTGTCAATAATATTTGCTGGTCTAATGGACCGACTTTTAACAAGTCATTTAGTTGGTTGTGGAACTCAACTAGCTAAGGCTTAACTATATGACACAAATATGAAGCAAGTGATCCACCCCAACATAAAATCATCTATTTGTCTAGGTGGAGACAAATACTTTGTCTGATTTTCTAATCTTGTGTTGCGGTGTTCGGTAGCAACCATGAGATTTTTGTTGGAGTTAGCTCACTCGAGCTCCCCTCGTCAACTACGACAATGGTAGTGAACGGAAGTTCATCATGGCTAAGATCTCTTCTCAACTGTAGTGCCGACATCATTTCCCCCTTTTGGTTGACGGGCGTCTGTTTAAATGATTGTTGGGTTGGACTCCATCACTATTAAACATTTTGGGCATAAAATTTTAAAAGATTTAGGTTCTAAATCTCAAATTAATTAATTATTTATAATAATAATTTTAATTATTTTATTTACAATTTAATGTTATCTATTTTATGAAAAATTGAAGATTATTAATATAATTCAATATTTCCAATCTATCTATAAAAGGGGAAGTTTTTAAACTAGAAAAATAATTGATTTAAATAATTCTTTTCGTAATAAGATAAAATAAAATAATGGAGATTAATGAAAAATATATTTTCAATTTATTAATTATGGATATTTGTTGTTGAAAATCCGAAAAAGGATATAAAGTAATAACGTGAAAGTGAAGGCAACCGATGACTCGGATCGGAAAACAGGTGTATCGCTACACACACGCAAGAAAAACCCCTCCTCGCTTCGCCGCCTTCTTCCTTCTCCGATCAAACCCTCAGATTCTCTTATCAAATCCCTAATTTCCGCTTTGATCCATTGCGGTTCTGCTTTTGAATCCTCTCTGTGAAATGGCTGTGAATTTCCTTGACCGGACTGATCTCTGGAAGAACAAGGCTCGCTCCCTGCAGCTCCGCCTCAGGGATCGCTTCCGTGTTGTTGTCGACAACCATCGCTTGAAACCGGCCATATTCTCCGATGGCTACTTCTCCTTCACCCTCCGTCTTTGGCTTCAGAGGTTTCGTGATTTTCGCCATGATTTGCCCTCTTCCACTGCTTTTTATCGCAAGCGAGGTGCCTTTTATTTTTTCCATCGTTTCCTTACTTGCTTGTGCTTTTTGGTTAGATTTATTGTTTAGTTAGTTTCCTTGGAACTTCACGCTTTGTAAGAGTGTACGAAATTTATTTCTTGAAGAATCTATAGTTTCGGCCTAGGGATTTCTAATAGATGCCTTTAGGCTTTCGTTTCAACCAGTCGATTGTATGTTAATATGTGTCTATATTAAACACTGGAGATTGTTTGTGAAGTGATTTCTTTTGAGTTGTGGCTTCTGCAAAAGCTGAGTGGTTTAATTTTTTATGGAGACAGTTAGCAAGGATTTCAATGATGGAGAAGAATCAGTCATTCTTCGGATGCTTCAGGCCGTAGCTGTTCCTGTTCTTGGCAATGTTTGCCATGTGTTTATGCATGGTTTGAATCGCGTGCAGGTGCTAAAAATGAGTGAAGTCTGAGGTTTTCTTTTTTATTTCCTCATTTTTGTTGCCATCTGTTTTGATCATTTGGTTTCTCTTATAGGTATACGGTCTGGAGAAACTACACAAGGCTGTGCTGCACAGACCCAAGGACCAACCTCTTGTTACAGTGAGCATCTTTATGAATTGGTTTTGTCATTGCATTTTTAGATGCATCCTCCTCGTTTTGCTAGTTACATCGCTAACCTTGAAGAATTCAAAACTGGAATATTTTAGCATATAGCATTATATGCGCATTCATGTGATACTTGAATATTGTGGTAACGATGGAGCACTGTATTTTTCTCCCCATTTTTTTAGGTTAGCAATCATGTGGCCTCTGTAGATGACCCGTTCGTAATTGCAGCACTGCTTCCTCCTCGTGTACTTTTCGATGCACAAAACTTGAGATGGACTCTATGTGCAACGGATCGATGTTTTAGCAATCCTGTCACTTCTGCATTTTTTAGTACTGTGAAAGTCTTGCCAGTTGCCCGTGGTGATGGTATTTATCAAAAGGTATTGCGGCCATTTCAACTATCTTATACTTGCTTTGAAATCTTATTCACACTTGTTGCAATACCTGGTGTTTATCATTTGAAATGTGGTGGAGATGTTTGTGGTTTCCTTGAATGGTTATTTCTTCTTTGTGGACATGATTGAAGGCTTTATTTATCGTCTTTAATCAGAGTAAAGCTTTGCAATGAGTGACAGAACTTTTGTTTTCTCTTGGATTGGAGTCTTTTTTTTCTAATTATTGTTCGTCTTTTTTTTTTTTTTTTTTTTTTTTTTTTTTTTTTTTTTTTTTTTTTTTTTTNTTTTTTTTTTTATTTTTTTTTTTTTTTTTTTTTTTTTTTTTTTTTTTTATGCCCATTGTATTTTTTTCATTTTTCTTCTAAAAGAACATTTCTGACTTCTGATTTTTCCCTTTATTTTTGGCATATCTAGGTTTTAAAAATCAGTTCTATATTTTGATCATTAGTTTTCTCTAAAAGAAGGATCATGGAAGGTGTAATATGACTTATTCTTTTTTTTTTTCCTGTTGTTCCTTCTTGAATACCTATCTCATTACCTAGGGCACATAATCGTGGGATTTGAATAAAGAATTTATTATCAAAATGTTCAGATCCTTTTTTTCCTCCATCTGTTAGTTTTCTTTTACTGTTAGATAAAGTTGTTTGGAGGGATAAAACTCCACGTTTCTTAAAGTAAAATGTAGGGAAAAAAGTCATATGGTCTAATTGGTATGTGAATGGATTGAGTTTGTGTTGAAGTTTTGGCATAATTTAATTTGGATTGTAGTTTTCATCTGCTTGTTTGTTTTCTCGCCTTATCTTTGTCTTGATGGCTCAGGGTATGGACTTGGCTATTTCAAAATTAAATCTTGGAGGGTGGGTTCACATATTTCCAGAGGGGAGTCGTTCTCGAGATGGTGGAAAAACAATGGGTTCTTCAAAAAGAGGCATTGGAAGGTGAGATCTGAGGAACTGTTTTCTGGTTTATAATTATGGGGTTTGAAGTATTTTTGAAGATCCAGATTTTTGGGAACTTCTGCAAAGTGTTATTGACTCTAATTTGGAAGTTTGTTTTTTAGTCACGAGCTACTTAAGGATTATGCATTTAGACATGAATTTTATTATCGGATCTTTGCTGTCTCTAACAGCATTGTTTCCCATCTTTTTGAAGTCTAAGCTCAGCCTATTTATCATTCTATATTAATATCATGGCAGGCTGATTTTAGATGCAGATACTATTCCTACGGTTATTCCATTTGTTCACACGGGTATGCAAGAAATCATGCCTATTGGAGCTAAAATTCCAAAGATTGGAAAGACGGTAGGGTGCTTGTCAATTTTTTTCTATTTACAAGTCTCTCTCTCTTTCACGCACACACACACGTACTTACGTTTTTCGAATGATTTGTTTTACCTTTCTTAAATATTCTTGTGGTTGTTACATGGAAACTTCAGGTGACAATTATTATTGGGGACCCCATTGAATTTGAGGATCTACTCAACTCTGAAAGTGCGCAAAAGGTCTCTAGGGGAAAGTTATATGATGCAGTTGCTTTGAGAGTTGGAAATCGGTTGCACGAAATAAAACTTCAAGTTGAAAAACTAGCTTACGATCGTGCATTAGATATGCAAAATAATTCAATGAGTAGCACAGAACGAGCAGCCGTGATGTTGCAGCAAATTGATTGGGAGTCATTTGGCATTGGTAGCTCTACTTCTATTGACTACAGTTCTCACACAAAGCACGAAACTCAAACGCAGCCTGATTTGGATGTTTCCTCAGCAGAACGACCTGTTTCTGATTGGTATTTCAGAATGCGTCTATCTCGAGAAGATGGACTTATATCAAGAATGCGTGGTTATATCGATCCGACCGAGTTCATGAGTTTTGCAGCAAGAGGCTTGTTTAAGAATTGTAGAACAGGAGGCAGCTCTGAATTTGGCGAGACAATTAGGCCATTAAAGGCATGGAAACGATTTGTAGAAGCCAATTTGCAACGTGGCAATGGTACTCTCACTAACATCACAAGTTACAATAATCTGGCTGTTTTAATGAGATGACCTAATGATCGACCATTCAGCTGGTCCCTCCTGTAAAAAAATGATAAAAATTTGGCATCAAGATCGTAGAGTTTCTCAAACTATGACGTGTTGCTTCCAAGTTCTTCTGAGTAACTACACTTGTACCCAGGACAAAATGCAATCAGCAGCAGATTTGGTCATGTTATTTTGGTTTCTGGTTTTCTAGTTTTGCATCAAGTTGGCATTCAGAACTAATGTAGCTGGAGGCTGAAAAGTAAAGAAAAAGAATGGTTTCTATGTCCACTCAATCTGAATGAATAAGGTAGAGAAATTAAGCCACTTGTTCTGATGGAATCTGTACATCAAGGTATGATCAAGCTTTCCATGTTTTTCTCTGCTTTATAGGCTATCCAGAATGATAATAAGAATAGTAGTAGATTTGATTCCCCCTGCCATGCTTTGTTTGCATTCAGATTTTCTTTCTTATTTGAGGCCAATCTTTCAGACTGAAGATTTGATGTAAAGTTATGATGAGCCCAATAGTTTTTATATGCTTCTGATTTTTGTGTTCCAATCTTTTCATGCATATGACGAGACTAAGGCATATAGATACATATTTTACAATATGATATAAATATTGATATTAATTAGCCTTCTATAAGTTAGATAGTTTACATTAGAGACTGCATGTAAAGGAATGAATTCTTGCCATCAACTTTTGTTCTCTAGTAGCTACCTAAAGTCGTAAAATGGTTGTGAAATAAAATAACATAATTAAAAAAACACCATTATTGTTAATTGAGGCATTATAACAAGTGATAACTACAACCATCACTCATTCATATACACAACAACATGCCCCCACACACGCTTCATAACAAACCCAAACACATAATTAGAACTATTGCACACGTAAACTCACGACTCTGTTTTCGACATTTCCCAACAAAAGGCTAACACTTTTTTAAGGACTCATATTACATCATAGTCATCATCGGTCATCGACCCATCAAGCTGAAGAAGATTACGAGTTCATATCATATCATATCTCGCATGTCATAAGGAGAAGTAGGAGTCCGAGTTCCGACTTCGCTTGTCGTCTTCTCGTAAGCATCTGACGTCGATCTTCTTCGAAATCGGAATGATTCTCTACCTCCATAATATTGATAAAATTTGTCAACAAAAATTAAAGAAGCTCTAAACAAATGATATTAGACGTAAAACAAAAGTTATTAACTTATTGGATAAGTAATAGAATAGGCGGCATAGGAAGACTAAGTCATGCATGGAGGGTATTATGGTCATTTCACACCCCCCCACACTAAATCTACTCTCGAAATTAATTATTACTACTTGGAATGGATTGTCCACGGATAAAGTGACAACTCCACAAAACGACAAAAAACCGGTCCAGATCTCCTCACTTTCTGGATAACTCCGCCTCCATTCCGCCGATAATGTAATTATAGTTTCAGCTTTAACAGAAAGAAGGCTCTAGAAATTACCGGAAAAAGGAGAAAGCGGCGGCGTGGAGGAGCCGCCCGGCGAAACCGGCGGCGAACCGTACTGATATCCCGGCGGCTTTACGATCATAATTCGTCTGGAAACTTTAAGTGGCTCCTCCGTCGAGGACGGCGGCGTTCCTTCCTCGTAACTCTTCCCATTGGATTCTGCCCAACACCATTAAAGCCAAATTTGAGTTAATTAAACTCTTTTTAAGTTAATTAAATTAAAGTTCAAATTTATAAAGCCAAATTTGTAATGAAATTTGTGGTTATAAATTATGGTCCGTGGCGGCGTACCCTTGACGGCGGTGGACCGGGAAGTGAAGGATGGGTGCTTCCGGAGCTTTCCCAGACCGGAGTCCGGCATCGGTCCGGCAAGCGTGTCGTCCCACAGCTGGTCCAGTAGCCCCATGGCGGAGAGAGAGCGAGAGAGAGAGAGTTCCGATCAGAAAAGGGTCGGAGAGAGTGAGGCGAACGGGGAGCGGTGGAGTGAGTTAAAAAGAGGAGGAGGGCGTTAAATGTCGAACATGTTTGTTGAAAGATCTAAACCGTTGGATTCGATCCAGGAGGACAATGGTGACGTGGCAAGTGCATTGAATTGGCACGTATTGTGGATAAGATCGACGAGGAGAGAAGGTGATGCCAAAAGTCAAGGAGGTGGGCCCCTGTGACGTCATCTCACGTGACTCGAAAATTCAGTGCGGCTGCTTACTACTTTATTTATATTTCTTTTTTTTTTTTTTTTTTTAGGATAACTGTGGCTTCTCATAAATCATAATTAAATATTATATTAAATCTCTCAATTTAATTATTACGGAACTTCACATGTCATCATCACATTTCATTGATTATATTTTCAATTTGCTAGAAAAAATGAGACTTTTAAATTAAGGTATCATATTTCTTTAGAATAAAGTATAAAACTTTATGATCTAATGCCTTATATTAATATTTAATTTTAATTATTTTATTTAGAAGGTAAGGTTATGTATTGTATAAACATTAATGTAAAATTAGAACTAAACTTTTTAGTTAATCGCCTCTGTATCTAGAATTTCATTCTTATGTTCGTGTCCACTTATACATCCATTACAATTAAGTATATGATTCATGAGTTATTCATAACTACAGGTAAGTTAAAAGTTCGTTTTACTCCTATAATAACATATTTTACGTGAAGTATCATTGATCTTTTAATGAACAATTTGCTTATGATTCAACCATAACCACTTAAATTACTTGTCTACTTTAACTTATACACGGTGGAGTGAATTTTAACTCACAAAATTACATTCTTAGCTCTTTATTTACTTGAATTCCTAAAATGGTAGTTTTATTGAATAGATTACCATAGCCATTTTTACCCATGTAAATTAAAGGACAAACCCGTCACAGGTAAAAATTCATAACTCACCTAGAATTAAGATGAGTCTCATGTGATCGTGGTTTGAAATATTAAACTTTTGGATTAAAATATTGTATAAGATACCCCACTCATATGTCTCTACATGAATGATTTGAATCAAATTATTTATACAATGAGTTTGAATAAATTTGGACCAAGAAATATTTAATCAAATTTTATAAATCCGTTAATTGAGAACATTAATATTTCACAATATGATCCTATTCGACTTCATTTTAATCCGAAGTGAGTTATGAACTTTTGTTTGTGAATGTTTGCTCTTTGATTTGCATGGACGGGAAAGAGTTTGTAGCCGATTGAATGTGTCTACCATTTTGGGAATTTGACTAAATAGGAACTTTGAATATCTTACGGAATAAAGTTTACTTCTTCCAATATAAGGTAAGTAGAATTTAAACAATGGAGCTCCACCCTCACACTGGCTAGAGAGAGAATTAGTTTGTGGTTGAATTTAAACAATGGATCATTGATATTAAGCTATAAGATGTAATTATACACGGCTTCACCCTCTAGCTACTCGATATGTCCTATAAATAGAGATTCAAGGATAAATGTTAACTTCGTCTCAAACCTTTTTTATTAACAAAATTTTTGTTAAAAACTTTATGCATACTTCAAAGAATGATAATGTATATTTTTAATAAGAAATTAGAGGGATTGTATTTTAAGAAGCTTCAAACATTAAGAGTGTTAGGTCATAGAGTCGGCTCCTTTTTTATAACTTATTCAATGGTTATACATAGTAAGGCATATATAATAAATAATTATGTATAATAAAGGGTTATATCTAGTAAAACTATAAATAATAAAATTCTAGTCAAATTTCTCTTTAAGAATTTTTCTCTCTCGTTCCTCGTGATCAATTAGATTGAATGTGTGAATTGTTGTGTGGTCCTAACAACTAGCATCAGAGCTAGACGAGATTCGCCATGATATGTGAAGATGAAAAACTTAAAGATTGAAATTAAGAAGGTTGATGGGTTCGATTTTGGTTTCTGGAAGATGCAGTATGAAGATTATTTGTACCATAAAAATCTTCACGAACCACAAAGCAACAGTGGAAGCTCAAGGATGGGAAGAGTTAGGAGCTAGCCTTGTGGTTTTTGATTCACCATGAAAGAAGTTGCAGGCTTAGAACAACCCCTTAATTTATAACTTAAGGTTCCATTCTTTCCATACAGGCCATTAATGATATCAAATTAAAATTATTTAATAAAATTTTGAAATTATTCGAAAAGATAAAATTAAGTATCCAATTTTGTATTTTTTAAAATTTAAGAATTTATTAAATAAGAAATTAAAACTTTTCAGAAAAAATTGAAGTAATGAATAAAAAATCAAGAGAAAATAAATAATAAATAATAATAATAATAATAAAGGGGAGCAAATGGGTCAGGAATGGGCACTGAGGATAGAGAAAGATACAGGCGAGGGCGGGCCCACAAAGGGTACAGGTGGCCTTTAAAAGAGTGGGGCCACCAGTGGCCGCGCACGTGAGGTGGCATAAAACAACAGTAAAAAGGCAGCTAGTTTGAAGAAATTACATGTAGTGCCATTGTGACAGCTTTAATAATTGAAAGCCGCCATTATCACTCAATTTATCGCGATAACAACTCCTTTTCTCCTTTCACTTTCCGTCTCGGTCTTATATTATATTAAACTTTTTTATTTATTTTTTTTTTATTTTTAAATTTTAGTTAAATTGGATTTTTGAAAAATTAAAAATTCTAATCGAACTAATATTTTACAGGTCATTAAATATCACCCTCAGACACATCCATTAATTAATTATATTTTGATTAAATTACTAATTTGATTTTCTGACATTTATCATCCATATTAAATGTTTCCATATTTTTGCATTAAAAAATTTATAACTTTAGGATTAGCAATATCCATTTTGTCTCTACTTCGCTTTCATATCTAAATAAATCTTAGACTTTAAAATTGACATGACATTTCACGTACTGATTTTACTTCTTTACCCTTATAATTTCAAAATTATAAAAATAAATTTAAAACCCCGAATATTATTCATAATATATTAATTAAGGAATCAAAATTAAATTAAAATTTAGCTAAATATAGTTATTTTAATAATTTCACTTTAATACAAAAAAAAACTAACCTATAACCCTTAATTATCTATAAATAATTATTGTATTGACAATCAGGCCCATCAAACAAACATATTATTTATTTATATAAAATTCTAATACCATTTTCATCACCAAACACTGATTATTTATTCTCCGACATCTCGTACATGACATCCTAGTCCCATCTTATTCTTGGGCATTTTAAACAAAACTTTCAACCAAATGATCCATAAAACATCTCAAAACTGAGTCATCATGGTCAAGACGAAGAACGAAGAACAAAGATTATCCATCGAAACTAAAGATAATACCGAGTACTCACAAATGAAGCACAAAAAATCAGGCAAATATCTTCATGCAGTTCCAAGTCAAGTTTATTAGAATCAATTTTCATGTATAATGTATTGACAACTGATTTGATTCTTGGCTTACTCAAAACCAAAGCACAAACACCTTGTAAAAAGTAAACTCAAAATTCCTAAAATTACTGCAAACTCATTTCGGCTTTTTCTTCGGTAAAAGTCCAAGCGCACCGTTAGCTAATATTATCCTTTTTTAATTTTTCCTTTCGAGCTTCCCCTCAAGGTTCTAAATCACGTCTACTAAGAAGAGGTTTCTACGCCCTTATAAAGAATGTTTCGTTCTCCTCCCTAACCGCTTCCCCTCAAGGTTTTAAACACACACCTCCTAGATGAGGTTGCCACACCCTTATAAAGAATGTTTCGTTCTTCTCCCTAACCGCTTTCCCCCAAGGTTTTAAAACACGCCTATTAAGAAGAGGTTTTCATACCCTTATAAAGAATGCTTCGTTCTCCTCCCTAACTGCTTCCCCTCAAGGTTTTATAATGCATCTGCTAGGGAGAGGTTTTCACACCCTTATAAAGAATGTTTCGTTCTCCTCGTTCTCCTCCCTAACTGATATGGGATCCCACATCTTAATCAAGCAAGCTAAATATATGTTTAAGTCCCTCAAATGTTTAGGTGTCTTCTCTAAATTTCTACTAATCCACTAAGTATTTGTAACTAAGTATTTGTAACTAGCGAAGTTCAAAAGGAAATTAGAGACTAAAACATATGTTTTGACTCTTAATTATAGTTTATTTCCCAAAAATGCTCGTATGACACCTTCACCTAACAACACTACCCACTAATCATCATACTCAGATAATATTGAGCAGTGATTAATGAAGCCCAACAACAAATGAGGCAACTATTTTGAGCAACAACAAAAAGAATTCAAAGCAGCTTAATACCTGCTTCCCTCACAGAATCAATAACAGCTTTGATCTTACCATGATACTTCTGTTCTCTTTTCAAGTGCACACAAACAGCTGGGATTCCCTTAAGCAAAAGCCTCTCTCCCAACAATTTCCCGATCTTTACAGCAGCAGCCACATCCCTTGTTGACTCCATGCTCGGCCGCAGTGCCTTCTCCTGCGAGCTTGCAGCCGAAGCAATGGTGGCCGTTTCGGAGTGGATCACCTGCGCGCTCACATACTTGTTTGTGAAGTGCATCTTCAAGACATATGGCTTTAGATACTGCGTTAATCTTGGTGGCCTAACTGGAGGAGGAATCACCATCTCCCTTACTCTAAATAACATAAACAAAGATGAATCTTAGGATCTTCAATCTTCTCAAGCTTAAGCTAAGCAACCAATTAGTGAGTTCAATAATAAATTTGGTTAGCCACAATTTATATCATGCTTTCAAATCCCTTACATAGCTTTCATAATAATGGCAATGGGCAATAGTTTTGATATACTATCTGTCCTTTACAAAAATTAAAATGGCACCCATTCATAAGGGTAAGCATCGGGCTAAGCCAATAACGAACCATATCATTGGTTACCAAACCAATGAACTTGATTGAGCAAATCCTGTTTTCAACTACACTGGTCGGATTGGATCTATTGGTTCAATTTCAAAAAATCTGGGCTTATACTGTGCTCAAAT